GTAATCGTGAACTAGACTGTTTTCCCGTAAAATACTTTTCTTACAAATTATGCTGTTATGCTCATTTCAAGTGGCATGCTCAATTTCTTGAAAATGCGAATGAACTATTTCTTAGTTCATGTGAGTTTGTACTTATTTTTTTTCAATTATTAAGACTAATGAACGTAGTGAAGACTCTTATATTGGTCTTGCTTACTTTTTTTCAGGAAAATGTCTTAAAGTATTGATGCACTTAGGTATAATGCAGTTTTTGAGTTCAATTGAAATTCATCTGCTGAAAGTGACGTAAATAGCACTCTCCAAGTACGAACGTGGAAATGGAGCAAAAAAACGTGAATGATTTTTAGTGGGGGCAAGTGCTATTTAGATTTAGTTTTTAGATTTCCAGTGGAATAAAATCTTCACTTGTTGATCCAGTTTTCTCTAGTTGGGTTAACATGTTTACTTGCGTCCATGTCATGTGTTGATTTTTTTTCATTTTTTTTTAGGATTTGTGTTTTTCGTCCTAATTTTTGTCGGCTGATTCTCCATTTTTTTCAAATGCAAATTTTTTTCTGGTACCCTTTTAGAGCAGTTTCTTTTAAAGCTTGGGGTTTTAGTTTTGATTCGAACAGTTATTGCTTGATATGAACAGGTATTATGAAAAATTTTTAGTTTTTAGTTTTTCTCAAAAATTACTTTGCCGATTTTCAGAAAATGCACTTCAATGGAAACAGCGCTAACTTCCCTGTTTGCGTGCAGAATCCCCTTGTCTCTTTCCACCTTGACCCACTTTCTAAAAAATTGGCGAGAAGCTTTTGACCCAATTTTTCTTGTTCTCAGAATCTACCTTCGCAAATCTGAGCTTTTGGGTTGTATTTCAAAGTGTTACCAGTCTTTCAAAGCACGGGTTGTACTTAAAAATGTTATGGCCCTGAATTACTCCTAAATCCGAGATTTTTTACCAGTTAGAAATTATTGTAAAAAGCTCCTCTGCATTAGCGGTAACGTTCAAATTTTTTAATACAAAAAGTTATGGTCCTGAGAAAACTCAATTTGTTTATTTTTCGACCGTTTTTTGAAAATCTGTCTCGTCTCGAAAACTCTTCTTGCAAATCACAGATTTTAGGTTCAATCGATAGTATGGGTCGATGGAAATTCCTCTGTACTGTATAAGTGGCGTTGCCCCCACTTTTTTCTACATAAAATTATCGTCCTATGATATGTAAAATTTTCGTTTTTTGACCTTCGTTTATATTTTGGGATGCATCCAAAGAAAAAGGTGTGAAGCTTCCCTGCCTAATGTTTCTTGCGCAAAAAGAAGCGGTCCTCAGAAAAGACAAATATTTGATTTTTTTACGGTTTATTAAAACTTTTTTTATTTTTCTCGAAACTCTCGGAAGTCAAGATTTTGGGATCAATCAAAAGAAAGGATTGAAGCAAGCTGCCTTGCATATCAACGGTAAAATTTGGACAAATTTTTACTTCTAAAAACTACCCTGGCAGATCTGAGATTTAGCAACAGGTTTTGGATCTTCTCGGTTTAATTGGCTTTGCAGTCTAGGGTTCGATCAAATGAACAGGTTGGCGGGAAAAGTCCACTACCGTACACATTTTTATTTTGAGTTTAATTGAAGGAACAGGTAATTAGTATCTCCCCTTCACGAGCTGCAAATCACTTATTTTAGTAGAGAATCAAATAAAGCTTTTGTGGGTTCTTGAAATTTCCGAAAGTTACGAATTTCATCCCACATCAGTGAAACTTGTTCTAAAAATATCAAACAGGTAACCTCCAGCTATAGCTGGGTCTCTAATTTTATCTATAATTGTAAGTTATTCTGTAGTTGGTAATTTTCCAACTCCGATTTTTCATAGTTTTTTTTCGTTAACATGGGTTTGGCTTATGCTTTATTGTCGTAGTCAACTTATGCTGGGTAGTTTCATGGACGATAGATTAAATGCTTTTGCCTGTTTGAAGAGGGGTGAGTCTTGAAATTTTGAGTTTAAAAACTTTATAGCTTGAAATTTTTTTCACTACAATTTCGTTTTCGGCTTAATGAGAGTCGACGCTTGTTTTTTTACCTTGGTCGACGCTCGTCCATTGATTCGCAATATTTGTTAAGGCTGTTTTGAAAGTTTTGTAGATAACGTTTTTTGAAATATTTTTTAAGCTTATTATCTCTAAAAATTTACTTCCTTCTTGTCTATCAATATCTTGTAATGCAATGTTTTAAGTGTATCGCAAGTGTTGCGAAGCACCGCTTCGCCTCTGTGCTGCTTGTGTGGCATACTATTAAACATGTTTTTCTTGATAATGTATCAAAGCTTGCTGTTTAAACCATGACCTTCGACCGTTGTAGTGCGGGACTGACTGAATTCATATTGATACAGGTTAAACCTTAGTATTCAGATGACGTATTCGCGAAAACATGGGGTCACACATCGCCTTAATGTACGGATCAGCTTTGTAAATGCTTGCTTGGTTAAATATTAGGTAAACATCAGTCTTGTTTTACAAGGCTCTTGAAAAACTGTTTAGATTCTTTTTCGACTGCCGTCCAGCAGACGCTGGCATGTTATAATTTTTCCGGTCTTTGTTGTTCTTTTCTTGGTTTGGATTTGAATGGATAAACAACGCCTTTCAGTGGCTAGCTGCTGCAGCTTTGTGTTTTTAATCTTACTTATCGGAAAAAGAAATGAAAATTTCCATGTCTTAGTTTATGCTGAAGGAGGCGGTATTTCTTATAGCCTGGTATAAGTACACTTTCAAAAGCCTATCTGAGCCGGGGAAAAAAGAGGAACAAAGTACTCTAGAGAGAGAAATAAATTGTTCAAATCTAAACAATCGACCTACGATTTTATTTTTTTTTGAATTGAGTCTTTTTAGTTGGTTTACTCTAATCCTGGTTTGAGTTGGAGAAAAAATTTTTATAAAAAATTTGAAGCAAAGTAACAATACGGGTGCACATGTTTTGGAATAAAGGGAGCTTTTGTCGGGATAAGTGATTTAATTTAGGAATTATTTCTGTAAGACAGTAAAAAATCTTTTCAGATACACGCACTTAACTCTGCATGATAAGCTGGCAAATTCTGTCTTCTGCGCAGAAATAGATTGGTCTAATATATATTTGGGGGAAGTTTCCCAGTTTCTAAAGGTATTTTTTGTGATGATTTTTATGAAAACTAGCATTGCGTTATAATTTGATTACTAAATGGCCTCTGTGATCTTGCGAGAGTGATTTCCGAATCACATTACACGCCCGAAGCACGCGTTGCTTACATAATTTCTAAGGCTCAGTGGCCAACACGCTTCTCTGTTTCTTTTATGGCAAATCTGTTTGTTCTTATTATTTGATTTTTTGTTCAAAACAAGTTGTTAGGGGAAAGGTATCGGGGACTGTAATTTTTGAAGTGATTCTTGGGATGGGGAGGGGGTTAAATTTGGTTGGTAGAGATGGTAGGGAGGTGAGGGGAGGGGGTTAAATGTGGTTGGCGTAGATGGTAGGAATGTGACTGAGATAGATCCAGCCAAAAAGGAATCGCCCTTTTTTTGGTTGGTAACTTTTGCCGCTGTTCATTCTAGTTGCATCTGCTTAGCGAAGCGAAATCGGGAGTTTATTAAATTTATTGTTTAATTGAAATTCCTCTGATGCAGCACAATGTTTATTCTGCATCAGGAAATCCTGCTTTGTCACTATCCATCATGTTGCTAGTAGGCTATCATGCCGTCATAGAGAATACTAAATGTGCCCTATTGTTTGTTGTTTTCTGAAGGAAAGTTTGCTTTTTTACTAGCAAGAACCAACCAAAATGTACCCTACCACTGTCCATGCTAATTCTATTACATTCCAGTCCTCCTAACAACACCGCAAGGATTATACTTTTATTTTTAGTTGGTTATAGCCTGGTCCCGCGCAACTTACCAATCTCTCTCCCCCATCCGCCTGTTGTTTCGACCCAATTTGGTTTCCCTTCATTGCTATTACCTGTTTACATTTCCGATTATTGTCGACGATTGACTTCTTGTGTTTAGATCCACTTGGTCGTGACCAAATTGTTCCTACCTTTCAACTAATAGAATTGTTTGCCTTTCATTACTTTCGAGCCGGCCGCACACACCCACAACACAAGGCCAAAATCTTAATTTAATACTTTGAAAAATCTGTCTTTTGAGATCGGTCTGTTGTTTTTTCATCACAATTCGACCCAACCAACAGACTTGACTAATTTGCAATTCATGAACACATCACCTGCAGACGCCAAGTCTCAACTTCTAATTTCCCTCTCTCAATCTGCCAGTTCTCCTGTCGCCACAGCCCAAGCCAATCACCGTACTTCCACTTCCACCAACAACGAAATAGTGCCAGTTTCTCCTGTTACAACGAGCCACCCTCTACCAGCCATTTCATCGCCACTTCTAAGGGACAAGCCATCTTTAGAAGCACTGAAAGCAGATCACAGGCCTGGAAACGAACAGCCGCAACGGCCTGGAAAGAAACTAAATTATGCTGTTGTTCATTCTGAAGGGAAAGACATAAACCAACTACAAGACTCAAAGCCAAAATTCACATCAGCAGTCAGTGTTGAGAACGAGAAACAACAGCTATCGCCTGTAAAATTTAAAAGTCACAACCTGTATCGGGGAACGGAGGTTTCAGAAGGAAAGCTATCAGATAAATCATCAGCCCAGAAAGTTAACAGGAGCAGGAGTCTGAAAATTTTGCTAGAGCCAGAAGACGTAACAAGGAGTGATTTAATTTATATCGAAAGGGAAAAGGCATTCCAAGAAGACATTTATAGCAGTTACCAGAACGATCAAGTTTTATCGGGCCGTGATAAAGGACCATCGCGATCGATTTACCCCTTTTACCCGAACTACAATAAATACGACAATTCGTATACCGAGTATAGGTCCGATACGTCTGAGGAGCCGCAGAGTGATTACGCATCAACTCGAGCGGCTATCAACATGTTGGGAACGTGTTCGTTAACTCATACGACTAGATCCTTCTCGGTTTCAGGCCAGAGTTGCATCATCACTCCCCAGGTACTGCTGGCCCAGGACGGGGAGAGTGTGGATCTGGACCTGGTCTACGTCATCAAGGAAGTCACTAGTGGCAGCGTGGTTCTGGTGGAAGGTACATCCAGACAGGTTGTCTCTAACTTCACCCAGAGGCAGATTAATAACGGAGATGTTTTATTCCAGCACAAGTATACACAAGGTGCGTCGCATTTTAAGGTTTTTATTAGTCGATATAGACTCTTATATAGGTCGTGATGATTTAAAAAAATTTCTCAGGCTCAAAATTACTTTTAAGCAGTTTAACTTTTGATTTCTTATTAAGTTCAGTGCATTTCCTTTGTTTAAAGGAAGGCAAACTTCACTATCCAACTGCGAAAGAGGAAACGTCACGAAAACGTCATCGACTTATAGTTTTGAAAGTGGAGTTTATTTATGAAATTTTCCAGCGAAATAGCTTTTGATCCAATTTTCTCAAATTGGATTAACTTTATCATCAATGTCAATCATAAATTGTTCTTGAAATTAAAAGAGCTTTAAGGGCATATATTTTTTGTATTTAAGTTCGAAATTTGAAGTTTTTCGTTTCTGCGTTCATGTCAGTTGTATATGTTTGTATGGTCGAATAGGTCGTTTTTTTTCTTGACGGAACGGATGCCATAATTTGTGGATGTGGGATCTTCCAATCAATCACAAACCATAATGCGCCTCTTTTTCAAGTTATTTTGGAAGGGTTTAATTATGAATGTAGTATCAGCACCGGCGTTTTTCACAAAAAACCATAAGTATACGCATGTGCCATTCAATATGAAAGAACTTATTGTACTGTGTCAGATATCTAATTTATGCTAGTCAAATTAAACTTCGGAGATTTGATTGCGTTTTTGTGATTGCGTACAAAAAAAGTCAAATTGAGTAAAGCCACTGATAGTTTTTTTCCATAGCTTAATAATAGTACCACAAGCAGAATCAAATGTTACTGCGACCGGAGGCTGAATTTTCTTTTTTTGGAAATTTTGGAGAAAGACTGTTAAATCTGAGTATCTTAGTTTTTTTTCTGACTATCTTATCTGACTATCTTAGTTTCTTTTTCAAGTTTTGGATGACATTCCCAAAGCTTAGTTTCTAGCAAATTATTTGAATTATACAACAGGTTGAGGGCAATTTTCAGTGTTTTGCTGTTAAGCTTTCAGTCTCCTAAAACCAAATAATTTTTTGATTGCGAATTTTTTTTAGAAAAAAATGCAAAGATATCTTAAGTATTTTTGGATTTATCGGCTGATAATATGTCGGCGCAATCGCGAAGCAAATCTTTTTTTTGTTATGTGGTTCACGGAAGGCTATTTTACTGTGTTGTTATTATTGATGGCAAATAATGCCTCTCCGGAAATCTAAATGAAGTTTTTAATTTGTTTTTTGTGTTTTTCGTTTCTTCCGGCCGTTGTTGAATCAATATCTTCAGACGATCAAATGCCGGCATTTTCATAGCCTTGCAGCATGAGCAGTTTGGATGACTGCATTTGCAAAATTTTTGTGGTGATATATAGTTTGCTTCCAATTTTAGAACTCATATTCTTTGCAAAATAATATTTAGGAGTCACAATATTTTTAGGTTTTGATCTAGACTTTATGGGTAGCGCTACCGCAAGTTATTACCTTTGCAATAAGCAAGGGTAGTACAATTGGGTACAAGACTTTTTTTTCTTGTAAATAACTTTGTTTGCAAAATGGTCAAAAATAGAAAGGTAAATCCAAGTTCAGCTCATAATGAATTCAAATTTTTTCGCCTCTCTGTCTTTTTTCTGGTGGTAAAGAATACGCCTGGGATGGCAAAGGTCCTAGATTCGAATCTGGAAGGGCCTGTTTTTTGTTTGTTTCACGAATGTTCATGTTTCAAAAAAATTGTCGGCTTGTTATTTGTCTGCTTCTGTTTCATCGGATTAGTTGATTTTTTTGCTGAACGCAATTTACTGTGTACTTGCTTATAATGTTTTGATTCCGCTGTTAGTAATTGTTGAATTTGTTTATTTTCTTTTATTTTTTTTTGCTTAAAAACTTTATTCAGTCCAATTTTTTTTGGCTCATACTTTATCGGCTTAGTGTAAATTTTAAGTGGTTTGAAGGTAACCATAATTTTTATACTCACTGGATTGCAAAAGTTGCTAAAATTTTAACAGAAATTATTGTTCCGCTTTCATGATAACATCTTTCCGGCTTTTTTGGTTTTTTTTCTCGTTTTTTGGCTTGATAGATTTCGACCTACATTATATCGGCTTAATGGCTTTGTATTGCGTCTTTCAACAAGCGAAAAGAATTTTCTTTTTGCATGCGTTTGTGTTTGTTTTAATATCAATTTAATGTTGTTCAATGCTAGATCTTCGACTCGAACTGTTTTTCAATCTTCACTTATTACATTACATCTAAATTGACGACTTTTAATTTAGTTGCTTAATTATCGCTTTTTGGCTTTGCTAAATTTTGTCAGTTAATTTCCGGTATTTCCCCTAAAATCCAAAATGAAGCATTGCAAAGGCGTTTTGCGGGGCCTAAAGCCGATGTTTCAAATATCAGTTTCTGAAAACGTTTTTCCTTTTCATTGTTTTATTTGGTTTTCAGCTGAAAATGTTAGCTTAGGTTTCGCACATTATCCATCTATTCATTGAATTTATCTGATTACAACCAATAGGTTATTTTTTTTATTTTATAAAGCATTTAAGATTAGGACCATTTATCCACGGGCAAAGGACCAACCCAAGAGCTGTACAGCTCATCACGGCGAACCGCTGTTGTGCCCCTGTTTTAAGAACTACATGCATTTTTTTTGGTTATTTTTCTGGGCTGGGTTATGTTGCTTCACCCACAAGCAACGAGCACGGATCATGGTGGGCCTCGAACATCCGACGACCTTTCGATTGAAAGGCGGAGACGTAACCAATTCACCACCGCTCCACACTTCAGATTTAAAGTTTACACATTGCTAATGAACGTGGAGAAGATCGATTTTCGCCTTCAGTTTCACGTGGATTAACTTATTTAATTCCACCAACTGAATGAATAAAATGACTTGAACTGGTCGATGGGTCCCATTTTGAGGTTTGATGCGATGGGCTGCATTTTTTGACCCTTCACATTTTCCACCCGGCAGCCGTTTTAAATTACTGATGCTGGTTTTGTTAATTATTTTCTCTGTCTGGAAATATGAGTACTTGTTGGCTTGACATATGCAAGGATGAGTGACATTTTCAGACAGGCTGCTTAAGTCTCTTTAGCCAGCTCGTTTTTACTCTTTTATCCAAAATGCAATGGTAGCTTATCTTTTGGAGTTTTACTGCAAAAAGTCTACCTTATGTTAGCTACAGGATACAGTATGTGCTAGCAACTGATTTGATTGAATTAAGCATTCTACTTCCTATGCACTGAAACGTCTGAGTTTGATATTGATTAAAATATATTGTAATTCAAAAGCAGTCTGAAAACATAGATGAATATTTTATTTGACGGCTCTGATGCTTAAAGAGGGGTGGTAAAATGACCCCTTATCGAAACAAATTGGAGGAGGAATAAAAATTGATTTAGAAAACGAAATCAGACGTTTATAGTTGAGATAAGCTTAATTATACTTGTTCTTAAAATAAGAAATGCTATTTTTTGTAGACTTTTTGAAAAGTTAAAAGAGAATAATCCCAAAAATCTCAATATTTAACATCCCTCAGGCTTACCGATTTCTATGAATCGATGCCAGTGTTATACTAAACCCTATAGATTTTCCACTTAGATCTGGTAAAATCCCAAGAGAATTCTGGCCAATGTCTCCTAATGTCTAGACAGGTGTTATACACTCGAAAGTCTGATGTAATTGTTAAATTTCTTGAATACTCGGCAGGTGCTTGATACTTTGGTCAGATCAGTTATTTCAGAAGATTAGTTCACTAAGAGGGAGAACCATTGTAAAAACTGGGCGACCTAGAGATCCTTAAAAACACGTCATTTTTTGTGCTCACCTGTTCATGGGTCCTTTTGTGAGAGTTTCGAGGAGTTCAAGTTCACTCAATGACGCGGTGATTTAGGTTGAAGCGATGATTTCAGACATTTCAAGCCAAGCCTTTGTGGTTTGACGAAAAAACAAGACATTTTAAAGAGTCGATGAACGTAGTTCAAACTCTATTGGTCGTGGTGTTTTTCGTGGTGTAAACTCCACTATGGAACAGCAAAAAAGTAAAGGTCACGAAAAACGTGATCGACTTCTTATTTCGAAAATGGAAATTAATTATCAGATTTTCCAGTGAAATAAAAGTTCTACTTATTGATCCAGTTTTCTCAAATTGGATTAGTTTTAACAAAGAAGTGTCCATCATAAATTGTTCTGCAAATTCAAAGAGCTTTAAAGCAATCTATTTTTCTTCGAAACTCAAAAGTTGAAGATTTTTGGAAAAACAAGTCAGTTTTTGTTTCAGTTTCCTTGCGTTCATCACTTTTGAGTTCAATTCAAGTTCATTTGCTTGAAGATAGGCAAAATGCACTCTCCAATTATGAAAGCTGAAATGGAGCAAAGAAACGTGATTAATTTTAAGTTTCGAAATTGGAATTTAATTAAGATTTCCCAGCGGAATAAAAAATGTTCCTAATAATCCAGTTTCCTCAAATTGGGTCAATTGTATCCAAAAAATGCCAGCTGTAAATTAATCAAAGAGCTTTAAGACCATATAGATTAATGGAATTCGAAATTTGAAGTTTTTTTTTTCAAAAGACGAGTCAAGTTGTTTTTTTCTGATTCTTTGCGTTCATTGATTTTTTCCAACTGTTTGTTGGCTATGCTTCTTTATAATAACAAAATTTAGACTATTTTTTTGCCCTGTCTTCAACTTCTAGCTCACTCTAAAAAAATAGAATGGGGCCGCGCAGCTTTAGAGAAACAGTTCTATTTCTTAAAAGAAGCTAACGTTTTAGATCCTCTTCAATCAGGAAGCTTTGCAGAGATAATCTTTAGTGTATCAGACGGGATAAACGCTCTGTTAGACCAGTACTTGCGGATATTTCCGCAGCCCCTGGAACTAGTCTCGGTCCAGCAAAACGATTTCCTTTCAGTTCACCCGGGTATCACTCATCCGATACCCTATGACGTCTTGGCTGTGACGACAAACGACGACTGTGCCGACGACTACGCATTCAAATACGATGTAGTTGAGAGGTCGGGTGTCGGTCAGATCCAGATGTTGGACTACAGTAGCACCTCTTTTTTCTACGACCGCTCCATAAAGTCAGAGAACGTGGCGTTTTTTGCCCCATGGAATAACTACTCGTGGCCAAAATTTGAAAATATTAATTTTGAGGTAACGATTCCGGGAAGGGATGTAAAACCAATACCAATGGGTTTAAGAGTCAAATTAGACTTCAACATTTTGGCCCCTGATTACCAAAGTCCGTTGATTACGAATAAGAAGTTCACAGTTTTTCAACGTGAAGTAACATACATTACGCAGAAAGAACTGGACGCATCAAATTTGCTCTATCACATGCAGTCTTCGCCTAATTATGAATTGAGAGAAATCAGTTACACGATAACGCAACCGCCCCAAAACGGAAATATTGGATCGAATGGAAAAACTGTCACGCAATTCAGCCAATCAGATTTGAATAATAAGATAATATACTACAACCATACTACTTCGGTGCGTGAGTCAAATTCAGATTTCTTCTTGTTTGAAGTCACAGTTCCAAAACGGGACATAGTGGAAGGGAAGCGAGGCGAACAAAATCTGACGTTTCCGGGGCCATCATTCAATATTACAGTCGTCACCCGAAACCATCCATTTGCACCTGTTGTCCTGGTTACACGAGCGCCTCAGCTGCAAGTTGTGCAGAGTTATTACGCAATAGTTAACTCGTCAGTGCTGAAATCTCGTGATGAAGATACGAATCGCGATATGGTTGAATATAGAGTCGAGACTAGAAATCTTTCTGGTTTCTTCGCTTTCGTTTTTGACCCCCTCAAACCTGTATACGTTTTCACACAGTCTGATATCGACAACAACATGCTAGCGTTTTACTCTCAATCTTCGTCATTGGAAAAACTCTCATTTGAAATGACTGTTCGCGATTTGATCTCACAACTGAATCCAAATACGGAAATTGCGTTCACATTCGTAGTTCAACCAGTGAAGTTTCGACTGGAAGTTCTCGGATCTCGAGTGATTAATTTAGAGCAAGGCGATTGGTCGACGATAATTGAGAAAGAAACAATAACTGCCTACACCAACGCTGACATAGATTCACTCAAGTTTAAAGTCATGAAGCGTCCTCAGTTTGGTCAACTAATTCTGAATGACATGCCAGTTTTTGACTACCAGAAGTTCGGGGTGAAAATGATCGATAACAAACAACTTGTTTATGCAATGCGAAGAGACCGAGATGCAACAAGCGATTATGACAATTTTCGACTGCAAATCGACTATGGCGACCGAGGTGATTTCGCTCAAAATATTGACATCGATATTCGAGTGATTCCTTTATTCTCGACATCAACTTTATACATACTGCCTAACCAAACGCTGCCTCTTACAGAAACAAACCTAAACGCCACTTCGCTTTCTAAAAAGACAGGCCAAGTTTCCCTTTTCCAAATAGAACAAGAGCCAACCTTTGGCAGTTTATGGGACACGTCGAAAAATAGTCGGATAATGAAATCTAGTTACTTCGACGGCAATAGTTTAGCCCAGAAACAGATCGAGTACAGGGCGCGTCCTTTTGGACCTGGAGTCGATGACGTAAGAGATGGTGTTGTGATCAAAGTAGGAACCCGTTACAGTCAAAATATATACCCTAATGCGCAATGGGTGACGGGAAAACTGTCTATTTTAATTTCAACCACTCCCTACATACCATCAACGCCTCGCGGGCCAGGAATCGGAGGTATGATGCAAGGTTCTGGAAACAAAGATTTAATTGCAATTCTTATCCCAGTTTTCCTGTTTCTCATTTTGTTTTGTCTAATTGGAGTATTCCTAATGCGTAGACATCAGAGGAAGCGTAGCATGAATAACCAAGTGGAAAAAAGTCCGGGGTCTATGGCAACTCCAATGGAATACTCCAAAAATGGAATGTTCATGCCGCTTTCAGGCAGTCGCAACGACGCCAATGCTCAACAGTTTCCACTGCTTGGTCTCAAAAACGGACCGTCCAAGTCGCAAAGCGATGATCTGTTTATAGACGAAAAGTTCAAAGGTCAATCACCACAGTACTTAAACCAGATGAAAAACGAATACAGAGATGCTCATCAGATACACCACGGCACTCCTTTGGCATCCGACCGGCTCATTGGTGCTTCCAACGGTAATTCATTTCCAACTATGGTCCAGAACACCGCCTCTAACAGAGGAACATTTCCCAGAAATTTCCCTACAGTCAGCGAGACACGACTAGTAACGGCGTCAGATTATAACCAAAGTTTTGAAGTGGATCCCTTGCATAGCGGGTACAGTGGAAGTGACTGGTCCTCCGGAGCAGGTCCGGGAACAGCTTACCCCCCTGGGTACAATGACGATGTCATTTCTGAGAGGTACAGAGACTCCCCAGTTGGTGTGTCGCATCACCCGACAATTAAAGCAGTAGTACGAGTGGATTCGAGAGGTCACATTGAGACACGAACAGTCCCGGTAGTGGATGAGTACGATCGCTACACTTCGCGGCATAACAATTACGATCACCGAGCCCAAACTAGTCCGAATATGATGCATAGCAACAACAACATTCCAACTACAGTTTCTGTTAACACAGTCAACAAAACGCCACTTAGACAAAGCCAATACTGGCTCTAATTAAACTTGTATTTTATTTTTGATTTGAATGAACACATTATCAAAATCTAATTGGATCAAAAATTACATTAAACCAGGGGTGGACGCTCTCCCCCCAGGGAGTCGACCCCCTGCCGACCCAAAGGGTCCCCCCTTTTTACTATTTTGAGATATCCATATTTGGTGACGGACCCTGAAAATTTTCTAAAGACGCGTTAGGCGCCAATATATACTAACTTTTGGGGGGGGGGGGGGGGGGGAGCGCGCGCCAAAAAAACGCAATTTTGTTGGTCAAACTTTTCTAAAAAGTTCCTAAAAACGCGTTTAGACCTCGAGAAAATCATAGATTCGCCCGTGCATTAAACAGCAACAATTTTCACCTCTTTTTGTCGATTATTATAACGGTGAAAACTAATCTTAGGGTTATTTTTGATCCGAAATATGTCAATGCTAATCAGAGTTTTATGATTTTTAATTCCGGCAATTCAAGTCTAGCATTTACTTCAAATGCGAGCTAAAAACGTGCATTATTTAGTAGATTTAAACAATCAAGCCTGAATTTGTATGAAGTCATTGCCTTTTAAACAGTTTGAACCTAGTGCTGTTAATTTTTGACATCTTTGCTGAACTATTAGTGATCTGAGGCATTCAGTTTGTACATTTTGGACAATTTTGTAAATTATATTTTCTCATTTAATTGAAAATTTTCCATCTTTATTTCAACTGAAGTGTTTTCACATTTTTTTGGCAAAGCTTCAGGTAAGGGCAAGGGACCTTGTATGAGAAAGTGATAGTCCACAAATGTTTCAATATACTGTTTTCATACATACTGTCATCCGGCATGGATAGATGAAACTCCATATAAAACTTCTTATGTATTTATATATCATTTATGTTTTGATATTATATAACATTAATGTGTACTGGTCGATTGACCTTGATAACAAGGACGAGAACGGTGTCTAAAGAGAACTATGGTTCAGAACGTAAATAAACGTTAACATTAACAAGTTGTTTTAACTTCTTCTCTCAAGCTTGACATTATCTATCCATACGGATTCAAGGATTAACAGTTCATACCTTACGGACATAGCGGTATGACATGGCGCAGCCACCAGGTTTTTCGAAGAACCAACTCAACATAAACCCATTTTGGGAACGAGAATCGGCCGAACCTCCATTAGAGTGGACAAAATGGGCAGCATTACTGGAAATGGCAGTATTCGCGAAAGATGGCATCGAAGTTCGAAATCTCTTACGAACAAGACCACCATTAGTAGAGTCATCTGAACCAGTATACGAGTTCGAGATAACCGGTGAAACGGATGCCCAAAGGAAAAACCGCGAGAAGTGTAATCAAGAAAAAAAGGGTGGGCTGGGAAAACCACGTGATAAAAGCGCGGGAAAAAGGAGTTCTGTGTAATTCATTCAGATGGGATCAAGCGGACGCAAAAGTACGCAGCTATCTTTTCTTGTGTCTCGGCGCTGAAGGACAACGACAAATACAACAAAAACGACCTAATTTACAGCTAAATACGGTATCTACGCAACAATTCATGACTGTTTTGGAAAATATTTTCGTCACGACACGTATAATAGCTTTTGAGAGGTATAATTTTATTTGTCGAAAACAAAAGAAAACAAAGTTCAGAACAATTTCATGCTGACCTAGTGGTACTAGCTTCACGGGCCGATTGCGGCGACCGAGAAAGTGAGTGGGTAAGGGATATGTTTACCGCTCACATAAACAATGAGAAAATTGCAGAGGAATTGTTAGCACAAACACGGACCCCACAGGAGGCATACGAATACGCAAATCGACGTGAAAAAGGAATAGAACACAGTCGTACAATGAAAATAAATCCGATTGGAGGTCAAACAGTGACCCCAAAACAAGAACCGATACATCATGTTAATATACGTGGCAGACAAAACCAACAGTACAACCAGAACAATCAGCGAGGTCGGGGCGGTTTTCGCGGCCGACCGTATACACGTGCATCACAAAACACAAGGGGTCAGCAATATCAACAACAACGAAACACAAATTCCAAATAGTGTTTCAAGTGTGGAAATCAATATGGTCCAAATCATATCCGATCATGTCCGGCAAAAGACAAAATTTGCTCAAAATGCGCGAAACGCGGACACTTTGCAAAAGTTTGCCGTTCTACAAACGTAAATTACCTAGGAAATACAAATGAGGAACAGCAAGAGGAAACAGAAATAGAGAACATGGAGACGGATATCGACCCGGTCGCATATGCTGAGTTCACCACAAACAATGGTTGGAAGAGCTATCAAAAAGACGAATTTTCCGTAATGGCAATATCGGAATCATTCGAAATCAAAAACACAAAAACAGTATCGGAAGACGACTTAAATGGACACCTTGTAAAATTAAAGACGAATACAACAGAACTATTCGCGATTGCTGACTCGGGCAGCCCAATGTCTTTTATAAACGAAAAAACTGCTTAACGAATACAACAAAATGATCAAACGGCAATGTTCAAAAACATCCCACCGGAGGATACAGCCAGAAATTTAGCATGTTACAGCGGTGAATCAGTACATACTAAAGGCAGGCTAATAGTTAGGATTGAGTCGGGAGGATGGAAAATACTCCGTTCATTATAGTGGACAACCACAAAGCAAATATAATAGGACAGAACCTATTACCACGCATCGACATAAAACTAATTCAGGACAAAGAAACCCCCAGGGTACAACGAAGCGACGGTACAACGAAGCAACGAATCAAACCATGAAATTAAACAATGGGTCAAGGATAATTTTCAACAATTATGCGTACGAATAGGAAAGTCAAAACACCACGTAATGAAAACACAATTCAATAAAGACTTTGAACCGGTACGACAGAAGGGCAGACATACCAATACATCTACAAGAAAGAATCGAAGCGGAATTTAACAAGTTGATTGATCAAAAACACATTATCAAGCTCGATAAGTGCTCAAACAAACAATTTATCAGCCCAATAGTTATCACAGTCAAAAAGATCAAACGGTTAAACTGGCCCTAGATTCCAAAAAGAATAACAAATTCATACACAAAAACAAATATCAAATGCCAAACATAGATCTCCTTCTGGACAATATCGCACAAGTGGTGAAATCAGACAAGTCAAACCAGACATTATTCACTACACTCGGTTTACGATACGCGTATTCACCACTACCCTTTGAACGGGGTATAAGGGCTTTCCAAAATTTTTTTAACATATATTACAAATTTTTAGAGATATAAATATAATATATTTGTATAATTATGATTATATATGTATATATATATATATATATATATATATATATATATAAATATAAATATATATATGTATATACGTATAAATATTTATATATGCATGAATAATTATACATATCTACATATATATATATAGATAATATATATATATAAAGAGTATTCCTAATGCGTAGACAACAGAGGAAGCGTAGCATGAATAACCAAGTGGAAAAAAGTCCGGGGTCTATGGCAACTCCAATGGAATACTCCAAAAATGGAATGTTCATGCCGCTTTAAGGCAGTCGCAACGACGCCAATGCTCAACAGTTTCCACTGCTTGGTCTCAAAAACGGACCGTCCAAGTCGCAAAGCGATGATCTGTTTATAGACGAAAAGTTCAAAGGTCAATCACCACAGTACTTAAACCAGATGAAAAACGAATACAGAGATGCTCATCAGATACACCACGGCACTCCTTTGCCATCCGACCGGCTCAATGGTGCTTTGAACGGTAATTCATTTCCAACTATGGTCTAGAACACCGCCTCTAACAGAGGAACATTTCCCAGAAATTTCCCTACAGTCAGCGAGACACGACTAGTAACGGCGTCAGATTATAACCAAAGTTTTGAAGTGGATCCCTTGCATAGCGGGTACAGTGGAAGTGACTGGTCCTCCGGAGCAGGTCCGGGAACAGCTTACCCCCCTGGGTACAATGACGATGTCATTTCTGAGAGGTACAGAGACTCCCCAGTTGGTGTGTCGCATCACCCGACAATTAAAGCAGTAGTACGAGTGGATTCGAGAGATCACATTGAGACACGAACAGTCCCGGTAGTGGATGAGTACGATCGCTACACTTCGCGGCATAACAATTACGATCACCGAGCCCAAACTAGTCCGAATATGATGCATAGCAACAACAACATTCCAACTACAGTTTCTGTTAACACAGTCAACAAAACGCCACTTAGACAAAGCCAATACTGGCTCTAATTAAACTTGTATTTTGTTTTTGATTTGAATGAACACATTATCAAAATCTAATTGGATCAAAAATTACATTAAACCAGGGGTGGACGCCCTCCCCCCATGGAGTCGACCCCCTGCCGACCCAAAGGGTCCCCCCTTTGTACTATTTTGAGATATCCATATTTGGTGACGGACCCTGAAAGTTTTCTAAAGACGCGTTAGGCGCCACATATACTAACTTTGAGGGGGGAGCGCGCGCCAAAAAAACGCAATTTTGTTGGTCAAAATTTTCTAAAAAGTGCCTAAAAACGCGTTTAGACCTCGAGAAAATCATAGATTCGCCCGTGCATTAAACAGCAACAATTTTCACCTCTTTTTGTCGATTATTGTAACGGTGAAAACTAATCTTAGGGTTATTTTTGATCCGAAATATGTCAATGCTAATCAGAATTTCATGATTTTTATTTCCGGCAATTCAAGTCTAGCATTTACTTCAAATGCGAGCTAAAAACGTGCATTATTTAGTAGATTTAAACAATCAAGCCTGAATTTGTATAAAGTCATTGCCTTTTAAACAGTTTGAACCTAGTGCTGTTAATTTTTGACATCTTTGCTGAACTATTAGTGATCTGAGGCATTCAGTTTGTACATTTTGGATAATTTTGTTAATTATATTTGTAACATTCGCCCAAATACTACACAGCGACGGAGCGTAGAAAAAGTACTTATTAACGACTGACAGGCGTCAGTTACCTTAATCCTACTCGTTTTTCACCGTCTCGACCTTGCCAGTTGATTTTCTGGTCTGTTTAGGGCTAAGTAAAAAGTTACTATTTTTAGGCCATCAGTCAAACGACTTTTGATCAGCTTTCGTTTACATGCGAACACAACCACATAGCTGAGTCTCGGATCCTCAGACTACGTGATTGACATTAAAAACACGGCTCGAACAACCTATTTTAATATGTTTTTGTGTGACAG